CTTTTCCACTCCATAATGATTGATGAGAGAGTTGTCTCCAGTTCTTTTCTCCTTTGGAACATAAAGAAATAAACAGTTTGTTACTAGTTCGCTACAGAAAAAGAAAGAGACAGAGAGACAGATGTGTACCAATATATAAAGTAATGGGTGATGATAATAGTATCCAAAGCAAATAGAAGGTGTGTCTGTCTTCATACTGACTAAAATAAATGGACAATTGGGCACAAAGGCAATCAGTCCACATTTTGCCTATGAAAGAGAATGTCTACATTATTAGAGCTACAGATTGCTGCTGTTGCGCTTTAGTATAGTCACTACTTTTGCCAATGGGAGAGATTCTTCTGTTGACCTAGGTATTCCCCCTCCTTGAGATGCAGTAAGTCGGTTGATAAAAGAATTCTTCCATTGACCTTTCACTCTCTTCACAGGAATTAAAGCTATCTTAACTACCTTGCTCAAGAGTATGGACTTTTCACACTCCTGGGTAATGTAGTCAGTCCTGCTGACCAAATTTTCTAGTTTGGACCACGCCTTAGAAGAAATCTATTGTGTTTCTCCCCAAAAGTGGTTGCATAGTGGTTGAAGTGATTCCCTTGCTAGCTGCAATTCCAAAGGCACTTTGACCTTCCTGGTTACACCCTTGCATGCTCAAGCAATATATTTATACTCTTCCCTAGTCATCTGTCTAAGTTTCCACTTTTTGTAAGCTTCCTTTTTGTGCTTAAGCTCACCAAGGATTTCACTGTTAAGCCAAGCTGATCACTCATTATATTTGTTTTTCTTACTGCACACTGGGGCTATGTCTACACTACAAAGTTGTTGCTTTTTTTTCAGAAAAACAGCTGTTTTTCCAAAAAAACTTAACTTACTTCCATGCTGCAATTGCGTTCTTTTGAAAAAAAATTGAAAGAAAAAAGGGGGTTTTCCAACATTGGTAAATCTCTTTCTTCAAGGAAGAAGCCTTTTTCTGAAAGAGCTCTTTCGGAAAAAGGCATGTGTTGATGGGGAAGAGGGAGTTCTTTCGAAAGAAAAGGAAAGAGGAAAAAGCACAGGTGCCCTGGTGGCCACTCCGTACGTCGTAATCACAGCTTAAATGCGAGATAATGTCCATTCAGTGTGGATGCTATTGTTTGAAAAAGCAGATAATTTTTTGATGCGCTTTGGCAGTGTGGACACTCCCTTGTGAAAGAAGTTTTTTCAGAAGATCTCTTCTGGAAAAGCTTCCAAAAGAAGCCTGCAGTCTAGACATAGTGGTTTGTTCCTACTCCTTCAATAAGACTTCTTTAAAATACATCCAGGTCTTCTGGACTCCTTTCCCCCTCTTGGTAGTGTCCCAGGGAGTCCTGCCTGTCAGTTTCCTGAGGGAACCAAAGTCTGTTTTTCTGAAATTCAGGGTCTGTATTTTGCTGCTCTCCTTTCTTCTTTTGGTCAGGATCCTGAAATCGACCATTTCTTGATCACTGCTGCCCAGGTTGCCACCCACATCTACTTCCCCAACTAATTCCTCCCTGTCTGTGAGCAACAGGTCAAGCTGTGCATGGCCTGTGGTGGGTTCCTTCAGCACTTACACCAGGAAGTTTTCCCCAACATTCTCCAAAAACTTCCTGGATTGTCTGTGTACTGTTGTATTAGTCTCCCAACAAATGTCAAGGTGATTGAAATTCCTTATGAAAACCAGTCCTGTGATCTGGAAGCTTCTGTTAGTTCTCTGAAGAAAGCTTCATCTACTTCATTTACCTGATCTGGTGGTCTAGAGCAGAAACCCACCACAATATGGCCCTTGTTGCTTCTGCCTCTACTAAATATCAATACATTTCAGAATGTTAGTTTTATCATCAGCTCATCTAACCCAATGGCCCTGTTCAGCACACTCTCCATCCCTCTGTGATCCTTATTTCCTCCACAGTGTCTTTAACACTCAAAGGCTACATCTAGACTGCAAGCCTCTTTCGAAAGAGGCTTTTTCAAAAGATACTTTCGAAAAAGCCTCTTTCAAAAAAGAGTGTCTAGACTACAACCAGTACCTTTTGAAAAAGCAAGCCACTTTTTCGAAAGAGAGCACCCAGGCAGTCTGGATGCTCTCTTTTGAAAAAGCACAGTTTGCATTACATAGCACCTTTTTTCGAAAGAGCACTTTTGAAAAAAGGTGTTATTCCTCTTAAAATGAGGTTTTCTGTGGTCAAAAAAACTGTCGTGTGTTTTCAATTTACTTTTGAAAGAACACGGCAGCAGTCTAGACCCAGGGAAAGTTTTTTCGAAAAAAAGGCCACTTTAAAAAAAAACAGCCTGTAGTCTAGACACATCCAAAGAGCGAATCTCCATTTCACCAAACTTCGTAATAAAATACATTGTTATTGTTTAATACTAATGGAAATTCTTTTCAACTATTTTGTTTGTCATTGTATGTTTTGGTGAAAGACTCCACCTTTTTAAATTCAGACACTTCTATAACTTGCAACGTTGGCACTACTGGGAGCTTTAATTTGAATCACAGTGCCATAACGTCAATCTTTCAAGATTTCTTATGCTCTCTGAAAAAATATCTCCACATTTCCCTGAAGGAGGATACTTATACAAATGATAATTTAAATACAAATGGGAATAATTTATTGTTAGCTTGCTATATGCTAGGAGTGCTTACATAAACATATTTGTTCATATTAACAAGATAGAATACCAAATTATATGCCTTTAGAATTCAAATTATAGATACCAAAATAGAATGATGGAATCATGGAAATATAAAGCGTGAAGGGACCCTGAGAGGTCAACCTCCTCTGTAAAAAAAAATAGTCCAATCCTAGCTTTGTACAAAACTGCTACTATATTTAATTCTCAAGTCCTCTTTCATATCAACACTTTTTATACAAGAAGTCATGACAAGGATGGGACACTGTGAGAGAATCACATGGGGGTGGGTCACCATATGTTTACCAAAACAACAGCGTTATTAAAACTTTCAGAGCACATTCCACTGCCAGCTTTACAAAGCAATTTCCAAACAACAACAAAGCAAATGCTTGTAAAGTGAATAAGCTTCAAACAAACAGCTACAGTTTCATGGTGGATTTAAAAGCATCATAGACCTAGTCCTGTAAGAAGCTAAGCAACCTCAAAGCCAAGTGGAGTTGAGAATACAGCACTTTACATAGGTAGCTCTCAGGACTTGTCAGGATCAGGTCTAAAATGAGTCAGTCTCAAAACTTTTTCATGGAGACATAAGTCTGCAGGCGAGGAGGCACATACTGTTAAGTTACTGGCAGCCAAAGTGCTAACAACATAAAAATAAAGTCTGGCTACCAACACCATTGACTAACATAAGGAAAAGGGCCGTCAGAAAACCAGCCTCTATATTAAATAAAGCAGAGGCACAAGATTTTTATGAAATATCACTAACGGCCTGGTCCATTGGAACTGTTTTAAGACAACAAAATATAGCATTTGGGATCAATTTTTAAAAGTCAGTCAGTAAACCAGATTTACAATATCCACCTTTATGGGACAAAGATGGTCTCTTAAAATCTCAAGATGGTTGGTCGGATTTTGTTGTCAAATATCTGGTTCACAAACAAAGTAAAAAATTAAATATAAACGATTACATTGCCAATATAAAAAAGTCTTATGGCATCACACTAGTTCCCATTACAACTGGATTCAAATGAAATTTAGATGCACAGATGAAAAAAATATCGCAAATATGAGAATGAGATTCCAGAACAAACTCAATTGCTAATGCAGATTATATAGTCTATGGTTTGAGTTACATATGATGCTGTATGTAACCAATCTGTGTTTAAACTGAAGTGCCCAATCATAAGAGATTTGTGCTATTTGTGCTATGAACTGAATACCAATTACCTAAATATATGCTTGAGATAGCTTTTCAAAATCACTACACTGCTTTTCATTTCTCTCACGTGTTTTTCACTTTAGATAGCATCTCATTTCTCATCTAGTGATGACAGTTTACTATACTATATGACTCCACATGATGAGAGGCAAGGCATCTGAAATATTAAAAAATGATTTTTTTAATTGGATAGAGATCAAAATGTAGCAGAGGGAATCTGAGACACTGGGAAAGCATCCATAGTATGTGTCGATTGATGAATGCCACGATGGATTTTTCAAACTTTCTGAATTAGGCTTTGTTCAGGTAGTTCAAGACATCTTATATTCCTAGTGAATTTTGGAAGACAGACAATCATTAATGGTAACACGATGATGACAACGATGATTTAATATATAGCAGATGTGAAAAAAGCAATTTTTGGTTTACCCAAATCCCAGCGTAACAACTTGATATCTACCTGGATTTAATTTGGGGAGGAAAAAAGGTGCCACCACAATAAGGCAAGTTATGAGGATTCAAGCTAGGGGGGAGAAATGAACCCAATGTCAACTGGCTGAGAGTCAAAACCTCAGTTGTACTTTAAAGTTATTGCTGTGCCAAGAAGCTACTAAATCACTGCACTACATGGTACTTTAAGAAATTCTTGGAACAACTTGTTGAACCAGTTGTGAGCCCTCTGTGACAGGGATTGATTGACTGTATTATTTGTTTGTACAGCACATAGAACAATGGGGCCCTAATTCCTCCTTAGGATGCTTAGATGCTACAATAATAGTACCAGAGAAATGAGATCCCATCTTCAAACCTCACCTCAAAGTCAGAGGTGCTGGAACTAGGGATCCTGGGGGGTGCTACCACCTCTCTGGGCTTGAAGTAGTTTCCATCATATACCAGATGTACAGTTTGGTTCCCCCCATACAAATAGTTTCGGCTCCCTGTTTATGTTTCAAATACTCTGCTAAGAAATTTGGGCCCAAATTGTTAAATAATTATTATAATAGGACCTGGAATCAGAAAGTGAAAATAACCAGGGAAAGTGATCAATTTGTTTTCATGGCACAAGCAAAAAACTAAATAAATAGCACTGATAGTGAAGACTAAATTAAACGTGTATAATTCTTTCAGTTTAATAAACTGAAGATGCAGAACATAATGATACAGTTAAAAGCATATAACTGTTGGTATACCGTAGACAATGGGGGAAGTCAGCCTCACTGAAGTTCAGGGAAAACTCGCATTGATCTCAGTGGGCTTCACTCCATTAATCTGATCATGAAGATAAAACAATTATGAGACTAAAGTCTTTCTATTTAATAATACTTGATTTACTATACATGAAAATATTGAAGTAACCAAGCCAGTGAATCAAGGTGACAAACACCTGGCCCATGAGCTAAATCTGATTCATGTGACATATTTATGTGATGCACAAGGCAGGTAATTAGATTCTGAAGAATCTTAGCTTTCATTTTAACAGGTAAGTTTCTAGCCCTTATGATTTTCAAGGATAACCTTAAAAAGCTGGTCAATATACCTCCAGAGGTATGAATTCCCCTGTCTCCTCCTTAGGCCTCAGTGGAGTGTTCAGTTCAAAACCTGATATTTTTAATGTCAGCATTTACTATTTCATTGAAGATTGTATTAAATGGAATAAGGAAAGGCTGATAGTGTTACCTTTATGGGGAAACTAGCAGGTGAGGCCCATTGTTGACCAGGCAAAGTCATTTTGCGTAGATTACACTGATAGGAAAGTTCAATATAGTAAATATATGTAATAGAATTTTTTATTAATGTGCTTGCAAAAGGGAAGCAAAACAGCTTTAAATTGGTAGGATTTCAACTTCAAACATTATTCATTTTATTGAATACTTACCATGCATAGTAAATTTGAATCAGAAACTCGTAAAACTTCCACCACTTTTTCATAAATAATTTGAATTATTTTGTAATTTGTAACAGTAAAAATTTTCTTTACAGTAAAATGACAGTTGAATAGACAACTCAATTTTAATTTTGTTAGCAAATATTTTTTATGAATTCTAATAATAATCATGACTTTTTTCCAATGAAAATCAAAAATAATTATTTAAATCAATGTTTTTCAAAGTGGTCCATGGACCCACTCTGAGAAAACAGCTACCAGGCCGCTCCGGTTTGTTTACTTACCAGCTCCACAGCCACAGAGCCTCATGACTCCCATTGGCTGTGGTTAGCTGTTTGAACAACACCAATTTAAATCTTTCACCCAGCATATTCCAGTGTAAAAAGTAAGGCATTCAGCTAATATAAATGCCAGGACTGTTTATGCAAAATTCGGTATCTGTAGGTAATTGTGAAGTTTGACTTTATTTTGCACAAACAAATAAACAAACAAACTCTTCAAAATATATAGTAGATAGAAGCACAGCTACAGCCCACCTGAGTGGCAGGATAGGCTAACCATATAAGTAAAATCATATCTGAACCCATAGGCACATACCTGGGCAACTAGTCCCTCCAGATGTTTACATTGCCACAGCTACACTGCCATTTTTAGTGCATTAGCGCTAATCCAGCTAGCATGGGTATATGCACTCAGGCTGGAAATGAGACCACCAGCTCCAGTGTAGACATATCTTGAGAACTGCAGAGAAAGAAAGGAGGAGACAGAGAGACAGGGAAAAGAAGATGAAACGAGATATGAAGATTGGAAATCGCAAATGTGAGCATATGTTCCCAGTGAGTGATAATGAATGCAACAATACAGTTCTGAGTAATAATAAATGAGAAAAATTGAATGCTTAGTAGTTACATAAAGAGGCTGGATTCTATCCTGTATCTATCTGTGGTGGATATTCCAGGTCCAAAATTACACTAAAGATTGAATTTTAGCCTTGTCCACAAAATGAGATTAACACCTTGGTGATAAGTAAACCACAACACACATTTTCTAAATAACACAAAGTAACATTCATAGCAGTCAGATGCTAGAGTAGACTCTAAAGTATGGGTACAAGTAAATATACTATAGATTAACTAAAAATATATACCAATGTAAACCTCAACAACTAACCTGTATTGAGCTTGATATTCCCAGTATACATGTAGAGAAACTAGAGTGGCTTATATACTGTAAAGAGAATAAGGCTTTGAGCAGAACCGCATTTTAAATTGTTACATAGATCTAAAGCAATTAAGGTGTAATGGAGGTCACTATTCAAAAATATTTAGAATATGTATCTGGATTAAAATTTGACAAGCAAAATAATACAAAAATGTGTGTTTAGTTATCAGCAAATAATCATATAAACAGAAGAGACCAACTTTTTCACATTCTATGCTATGCTATATCTACACTGCAACACTATTTCAGGATACCTGAGTATACTATAATCGTTATCCCTTGTCTTCACAGCAAGCCCATTATTTCAGGCTCGCTATTCCAACATTCCTGTAAACCTCATTCTACAAGAAGTAAGGGACATTTCAGAATAACGCTTTATTTTAAAATCTGGCACTGTGTAGATAGTGCCAAATGATGAAATAAACTATTTTGAAATGGCATCAAAATAAGATACGCAATTTGTGTAGCTCAAATTGCGTATCTTATTTCAAGTTATGGTGCAATGTAAATGAACCCTTAGAGTATTTTAATAAACTTTCAAGTGTTTAAACAGTGTTAGTCCCAATAAATGTGCACTCTTGGTTTTTCAGTCCCGATTACTGTTCCTCCAAATTGTTAGAGTTATGTCCAAACACTGGTACTTGGCAATACCAACTCCCACTGAGGTGGACATTTTCGTTTTCCACAAGATCCTTATGCCTCCACACTGTTTGTTTTTGTGCAAAAACCCCTTGCGCAAAAATGGATTGGAAGAGATTATGCAAATGAAGCACGAGAAAATGCTAATCTGTGCTTCATTTGCATTGCCTCTTCTGGCAAAAGCCATAAATGTAGGCAGGCCTGAGACATGGTTAGACATCAACATCATGTCAAAGATTGGTCAGGCATGACTTGCTCTTTGGCTGTATCTACACTGCATCCGTTTTTCGTAAAAGGGATGCAAATTAGACATATCGCAATTGCAAATGAAGTGGGGATTTAAATCTCCCCCTGCTTCATTAGCATAAAAATGGCTGCCGCTTTTTTCCATCTTGGAGCTTTGCCGGAAAAAAGTGCCAGTCTAGATGCGGATCTTTCGGAAAATAAAGCTGAAAGATCCCTTATCCCTCTTAAAATAAGGGATAAGGGATCTTTCAGAAAAGGCTTTATTTTCCGAAAGATCCGTGTCTAGACTGGTGCTTTTTTCCGGCAAAGCTCCGTGCCAAAAAAAAGCGGCAGCCATTTTTATGCTAAAGAAGCAGGGGAGATTTAAATCCCCGCTTCATTAGCAATTGCGATACGTCTAATTTGCATCCCTTTTACGAAAAACGGATGCAATCTAGACGTAGCCCATGGCTAAAAGAACAAATTTCCATAGTCAGCTGCTGATTCCAAGTTCTGTGCTGCTTCTTTTGAACCACCTGAGTAAAACTCACTTGCAAGTCCCTTTTTGGGTAAACCCCTGCCATGGAGGAGTTCTCAATGGGCACAAAGCCATGATAGCCAACTCCTATGCCTCTATCCCAGTCATCCATGCCACAGAAAGGCATGTCAGGATAAGGTGGGTAATTGCCTAAAATGAGCTGTAATCCAGCTATCTGCTGCTGTTGTACTGTCTCTTGGGAGCTGTTGCCAACTTGCACAAGTTAGAGTATCCTTCATATTCCTGTTAACTATTCTGACAAGTCCCTGTTTCTTTTTTCCTTTGCAGGTTGTCTTTCAATGTGACACTCAGCAGTGTTCACTAATGAAGAGTTAGTACAAATGATTGCTTTTCAGTGGTCTGTAATCCAGCTATCTGCTGCTGTTGTACTGTCTCTTGGGAGCTGTTGCCAACTTGCACAAGTTAGAGTATCCTTCATATTCCTGTTAACTATTCTGACAAGTCCCTGTTTCTTTTTTCCTTTGCAGGTTGTCTTTCAATGTGACACTCAGCAGTGTTCACTAATGAAGAGTTAGTACAAATGATTGCTTTTCAGTGGT